ATGCGAGAACGGTGAAACGCCATGCAAACTAAATGAAGGCAGCTTAGTCTCCCACTTCACACGATATGAAATTTTAAAGAATAAAAAATAAACTGTGCGTGCATATTCCATTTGCATGTTTTATTATTTCTATCTACCTATCTTCCCACCTCTGTTCAAACACATTCACATGTGAAGCAGCGCATGGAGACAAGGCACGAAAAGGCCAAACAACCACTTCACTCGCAACTAGTTTATTTCTCGAAAAACATGGTCAATATATACAACACGACAGCGTACTAGGTACAACAATGACGTTCAAGTTAAAACAGTGTGCGGTGATCTTCCAAAAAGGACATGTCACAATTGCTTAGAAAAACCAATGTTTGACTGATTCCTTCTATATCATTTAAAGAAAAAGATGACTGCATCAGCCAAGCATCAGTTGTTTTAACCAATCACAAAATGTCCTTTTTAGAAGATAACCGGACACTACAACGTCATTGTCACACGTAGTACACTATCATGTTGTATATTAACCATGTTTTCTGTGAAATAAACTAGTTGCGAATGCAGCAGTTGTCTGTCTTTTTCGTTCCTTTCGTGCCTTGTCTCAGTGCGCTGCTGCACAAGTAAACATTAACTATTACCAACTTGCCCCCCTTTAACGTTGCTGAATTTTCTATTCAAGCAACAGATTACAAAAATTACACATGTTGCCTCAAATCACTGTTGCAGTGTTACGTACTACTTTGATGTACGCAGGACCAGCGTTGTAGCACAAAGTTTTTTTTTGGGGGGGGGGGGGGGGGTGCGGCATACGCTTTGCCTAAAGAGGGGGCATGGCACGCAAAAAAATATTTTCTGGGTGGGGGAGGCACCTGCGCAGGACTATTCCTTGTTGGATGTCACCTACACCATGCAGAGGCACGCGACCGTTAGATGAAGGGCAAGTGGCGTTCACTCTGACATTTCACCTCTTTCCGGGGCCCTTGGCAGTGCAAACCTTGGCAAACGAGATCGTGAGTGCCAGTGCATTGATTTTTCTATGTAGCTTGAAAAACTCAAACCAGATGAAAGGCCCTTTAAGGGGTGCACAGGCAGAGGAGAAATTGATCCTGCACTCGGTAAATACGAGGCTAAAATAATCTCCTGGCCTACTTATGGCCCAGCTGTTTGCCCCTCTAGTGATGCCCTTTTCAGCCATGCCAAAAAGAAAGAGACCCACCCAGGAGGGTGTTTATTCGGCGGTGCTCACCTAACTCGCCAAGGTGAACAATAAAAGGGGAGAACGTATTCTGCAAAAGCGAAAAAATGCATGGCTACGCTAAACCATTGGCACCTTTCTACCATCATAAACTAAAAACTTTATTATTGCTTTCCTGTCCTATGCACAGGTCCACCATGTATTTCTCTGAAATCTGGAATTTTCATAATACTTTATTGTGCCTATTTTTACGATTTTAGGGGCCTAGAACTCTGTTTTGTCTGCCTATTTTTGGCCCCTAAAACCCGATATTTAGTACCTATAATTACGGCCTCTACTCAAGACAGTGGTTGATACAGTCACGTGGTTGTGACCTCTGCAGGTGACGAGTCCAATAGGAAATTCCTTATTTGGCCGAACTCGTGGCCGGGACATGAAAAGTTGGATTAAAGCAAGCAATGATAGCGGTGAATGGGCCTTCAAAAAACTGACAAGCTGTGATGCGCAACAGCATTTATACACGCATTGTCGAATATTCCAGCATTATTCCCGATGATGATGTTTGATGTATTGTGGCACAAGGGCCATTTCACGGCCAAAGAGCACCAGTTTACCCAGCATTATTCCTAAGGGGCACGTAAGTTCCAGAAAAATCTGTAATATTCCGGTTAAGCACATAATTGCATCGAAAAGTTCCAAGATTATATCGATAGTACTAAGTCAATCAGCACAGTTTGCTCAAGGCAGCATTTACACATGCAGTGGGTCAATAACAAAGCTTCAGAAAGAAATACGGCAATTTGCAACATTCACAACCTATAGGTGGCGCAAATGTACATCCAACATAGCGGTCGTTGAGATGATCGCCCCGAGAGAGATGGTACCAGAAAGTACACTTTTGGTGAAGAGTGCAATTTTTCGAGCTTCAGTAACCGTTCGATTCACGTTTTTCAAAAGGTAGGGGAGCGCTAACATACTATATTAATTAAATAAGTGTCGGGTAGCACATTGGGTAGGAAAATAAGCGCAAAATTATAAATAAGGCCCATACGTACGCTCTTCACATTGCTGGCTGTACGTAATCACGCGCAAAGCCTGGTGTCATGTTGGAAAAGTATTATAATGGGAGCCTCAGTACAAATGTCTCAATAGTATCAGAAATATTTTCAGATACGTGCTTTATCTTACAGTTTTGCTTGCACTGCATTCTGCGCGAAGCTCAGCTGCACCTAAAAGCACGAAGTAAATAAGCAGACGAAAAAAAAAACATTGTTTGTGAATACCGAAGTACAAGGTGCCACCGAGGCATGTCATATTACCGGCAATATGATTTTAGGGTGCTTTCTTGTACAACAGAATCTTAGGAGGATGAAGTCTGCAAGCAGTGAACGAAACCAGTGGTAATATGCAATTTTCCCATTTAAGAGGTGACTTTCCTGTTACTGTTATATGGTTCGGTGTTTGAAAAGTATAAAAGATAGCATGGTGCGGGGCAGAAACGTCAAAAAGAAGCGTCCTCACCAAGTAAGACCGAACACAAATTGCGGTAGCTGTGAAGCAGACTTCGCAGATGCTTCAGATATGTAATGATGCGATTAACGTTTTAAAACCAGTCCTTTCATTCTATTCTAGAGGCGGAATGTATATCAAATTTAGTCCTGGTACTGTCCGCATAGTGACCGTGTCGAGCAGACGAAGTCAGCGCAAAAACTTGAGAAACTCAAAGGATTACAGTAATATCGAGGCTGTTCACAGCGTTGAAAAATGACCACAAACGTGGCAAAACAAGCAGCAAGATCTGCTGTTTGATACAGGTCCCAAACATCAATCATCTGAACAGACCTTCCTGCTGCCACCACTTAGCAATGCCACGGTACCTGGAAGTTTGCGAATACGATGGGATATGTACTGAATATAGTGGATATGTAGTTGGTTGTGATGGGTGGAATGAGGAAATAATTGGTGAAAAGTTGTCAAATGGGTTATTTTCTGACGGGATGCAAGAGAAGGAAGGCCTAGGCTAGATTTCATTGAAGATATACTGGCAATGTCATTAAAGTTAGAAAGTGTGAAACTGAGGGAGTTATTCAGAACAGCTTGCTAGAGTTGTGGCTTGGCAAGTTGGTTCATGCTTATAAGAGGGAAAAACAGTGCAAAATTCAGACAGACACAAGATGAAGGCACGACACGAGCGCCGTGTTGTGCCTTGTTTATCTTGAGTCTGTCAGAATATTGTGCTATTTTTCACTCTTATATTCCGCATATCTGTACCAGTTCAAGCTTGAAATGTATTAATGTCTTACATGCAAGCAGGTTTAGGCTTTTGAGAAGTTATGACCTATGTAGCCTGACATGCGATTTACATTCTTAGTAGTGTATTCAATGTAAGGTGCCCAAGATAGGCTTGATGGGATAACACTTAAGCATTTATACGAGCTGACCAGATCGGGCATGATGACCTTAAAGTATTATCTAGTTACCCACATGCCAATGTTTAAATCCATTTGCTATGTGCTGCACCAGGCTGCGACGGTGTTAGGATCAGACTGAAGAAATTAACTGTCATTACCACTGATTACTTCATGAAAAATGACGCATTCATCTGCAAAAAGATTAATGTTAGGTAGTTGATATAAATTATCAACAGAAGTGGACCAAGGTGTGACCCTTGTGGTACGCCTGAGTGGACCACAGCAGATGACAAATTGTGTTTGTTAGCAGTAACGTACTTGCACTCTGTGAAATAAAAAGAAAACACTAAATCCACTTGAGTAAATCGTTGTCAAGGTTTAGTAGGCTCAGGTTGGTGACCGACTCTGTCAAAAGCTTTGCTAAAGCTTTTAAAAATGCAGTCAGGACATTTTTAATGGTCCAAATTTTGACGCAGCTTGTGAGCCGTGTCTCGCGTGAACAATGCTTATGAAAGCCACATTGTCCCGGTGTTCAAAAAAAAAAATTGAATTCAAGAAGGTAATGAGGTTGGTGAAAATTACCTAATATTTAAAGAAAGCCCTTGTTAGCGAAATAGGGCGATACTTATTACGCGAGTATTACCCGACACTAATACCGGAACCACCCTGCCGATTTTCCATTGCAAAGAAATGGCTGATGTATTCAAGGGTTGCTGAAAGATTTTTGTTTAGTATCAATGGAATGTAGGCCAGAGTTTAAAGAAAGTTCGTCTGGTATGACACGTATGACAATACAATCATTGTAAAGGTGAGAGCTAGACGTTATAGAAGTCATACGGGTGCCGAAACATCTCCGCGTGTTCTGACTTGGTCAGTGACCGCATCGTCATGCCCCCAACCCCCAAGTGATTTCACTTTGTCTTACATACACAGGCACGCTGGGCTAACAGCTATCGCGGGCAACATGTGCGCACGTCAATGAGCCGCGGGAGAACAGGAAGTGGGCAATGATCGACATTAAATAATGAGGCATCTACAACCACTTAACGCGGAAATACCGCTGGCGCATGCTTCTAACTAAATGGGCCTGTCGATGCTGCCTTTCGGAAAGGACCACACGAGCTCCTTCCCACAGGTGAATTCGCTCTTGAGAAGCGTAAACATGGCCATTCCTAACGTGCCGCGGCAACGCATCGCGAACTCCTCCGGGACGAAAGATCTGAAGAAACAAAGTGTTTCCGTTTTAAAATCTGCACTTGCAGCCAATGTCTCTAGTGCCATGGCTTGGAATCAAACGCAGCTAGTAGACGCAACGAACTTCCAGAAGGACGTTCCGATCAATAGGGCATCCGGGCTATGCGATGAGTGTACGGCGGAAAACAGGGCGTCGCCACGCCGCTCACCTGAAGAAGAAGGCCCTGGAAATAGCCATGTTGTGTATGTGCAACAGATTGGTGCGGTTGGGGAAGACGGGGTCGATGTTGAGCCTCTGTATGTTGGGCACATGGGTGACAGTTTCGTTGGGCAAGAAGAGCTCGTTCACGTCCACCACCCGACAGTTGTCGCCGCGTACTTTGTCGATGCGCATACGAATGTCGTCGAAGTTGTCCCGCACGTGCCAGTTGAACTGTGCCAGCACGCAAGCGGCCAGCACACAGCAGTGCACAATCACAACACGCAGAAGGGCCATGTCGGTGGCTACTCGATTCACGTTTGATATAAGTCGGCTACAACGGCTACAACACAGTCATCTTAGGTGTGGGCGCGGACATGTTTAACTAGAAGCGTTGAGAGAGGCGTGCGTGCCTTTTCACCCTTTCTCTTTTCTCAGGAAACGCCTCCTGTATTAAGATGCCTGACGAATGGCTCGTGTTGCCAGCAAAGTGGTCTTACCTTTAGTTTTGGGCAGGCGCCGCGCAGTGCCGCTCACGACCGACACGTCTAGTTACTCGCGCCATAAATTCTATGACTCGCCCTACTTCCCAACGTTTCTAGTTTCTAGACTAGGTAAGCTGCAAAACTCAGTGATGTTGCGCATCGCCGCCGCTGCCAGCGACAAATATGGCGCTGCTGTCGCATTCAGATACACTCACTGCATGCTCGCTCACAGAGCACGTAGCCACAGAACACCTACCACCTAGCTCGCTCGTGTCACTCCTGTAACCTCCATCGCTGTGCATGTTGCAGTGCGTCGATATCTGTGGAGGCTTCTTTCTGCGTGAACATTTTTTGTGCTTCAGCGCGCCCTGTTCTGCTTTGTATGTGTTGCGTGTTTTCATCATGCCCGGATGTTGCGTTCTCGGCTGTAGAGTAGCTGCAGGAAATAAGAGACACCACGACATTTCTTTTGTGCCCACGTGTACCTGAGCAGCGAGAGGTATGGGACCACATTATTCCTCGTGTAGATAAGACACTGCCTCAGCACCTCACGTGTGTGTGATATGCACTTTCATGAGAAGGGCATCCTGAAGACTTTCACTCACGTCATATGGTAAGAAGGTACAAATCGCAAGAGAAAAGTGGGACCACGTCGAAGGATGCGTACCACGAATATTCCCGAATTCGCCCGGTTACCTTTGTCGCGGGGCCCGCGACAAAGAAGCGAAAGCTGCCCGATAGGAGTGGGGTATTTTCCAGAATATCATCGCCGAAAAAGAATAGACTATCTTCGAGCACTGAGCTCGAATACAGTGAAACAAGTCTCGACATGCCGTCAACTAGTGGCGTCATTTCGCTTCAAGACATAGAAAACGTAATTTTGCATGCTGGCGGAAAGTTGTTGAGAACGGCGAGACAAGACGTCTTGTGTTGTTTCTAGGGCTCAAAGAAAAAAAAGAGCGCTATTTGTGGAGAAATGCGTTGTCGTCGCAGAAGACATGACAGTCACCATTAGCAGCCGTCACCATCACTTAGCCAAGTCGTCTGGTAATGGAGATACCATCACCCAATGGTCCGAACTTTTGGAGGACATAGAAAAGCTGCAACTGTGTTGATGTCCCAATTGATTGATAAGTGGGGTTTAACGTCCCAAACCCACCATATGATTATGAGAGACGCCGTAGTGGAGAGCTCCGAAAATTTTGAACACCTGGGGTTCTTCAACGTGCACCCAAATCTGAGCACACGGGCCTACAGCATTTCCACCCTCCATCGGAAATGCAGCCGCTGCAGACGGGATTCGATCCCGCGACCTGCGGGTCAGCAGCCGAGTACCTTAGCCACTAGACCACTGCGGCGGGACATGTTGTCCAAATGCGCCAGCAGGCAGACTCGTGAATAATTACTACGGAGTGCTCACCGATACCCCAAAGTGCGGTCTCTGCTCGAAGCTTTGGCTGCAGCTGTGTTAACAGGTTTCATTAGAGGAACTCCAGAAGAAGCAGAGGGAAGACATGCTCAAGAAAATGGCCGCACGCGTAGCTTTTTGACGGTCTAAATTGCTAAAGAATGTGACTGACATGAAAAAAAAAACTGACTACATAACCAGACAAAAGCCACAAGATTGCGCCACGTTGTTGTAATTTATTTTCAAGCCCGAAAAACACAGCCACAAAAGAGGATGCCAGACATTGTAATTGGGTTTTTCGCATCTAAAGATCTATTGCGAACGTACACCAACTAGCAACTAACCGACAGACCCGTATGTTATGCTATATATATCAAGCATTGTTTGTTGTGGGCAGTTCAGAAAAACATAATTATACTGTATTTGCCTTACACCACTAAATATTACGCAGTATTAAGTTTCTGCGGCAGCACAGCAAATCTCGATAATATACTGTTGGTAAGCTCTTTCAGAACGGCCGCCACGGCGTCTTGCCATGACGGCTACGCGTTTTCGTCTGCTAGCGGAAGCTTGTTGCGCCGCCAGCGCCACCAAACCAGAAGCTGTCTCGGCGCCGTGTGCCGAGTAGTCTGACGTGGGGAGTTTTGCAACTTACCTAGTCTAGAAACGTTGCTACTTCCGAGCGGCGCGGAGGTGTTTTCGCGCGCTCCACCTGTTCGACAGATTCAAGGTTGTGCAAGGTCAGTTGGTGCAGAAGCAGCGTGCAACGAGAGATAAGTTTTTCTTCATTGCTTTGTGATTGTGCACACCATTATTTTTTTTTTCTTAAACAAATATTAGCGTTGCGAGTACTGTAGCTGCAGGACACAGGCAATGTTGTAGTGACGCTAACCACGTGAACGGGCTAGGCGGCTGTTTTGAAGAAGGTCGGGGCGCCCGGTTAGTTGTTAAAGAGCTAGACCCGAGCACGAAGGGGACCTAGTGAGAGGCTACTAGCGGAAATGAACGTGCAAGTGCGGTTTAGGCGGCAGCTTCAAACAGTTGTTGAGATAGGAGAGTTAACGGAGGCCTCTGGATAGCGGGATTAGGGTTGAACGTAGGCCTGTCGGGAACTCGGTCCGATGGTAGGGCGGGCGATGGCTAAGGATGCTAGGAAAACCACGAGCGAGAGTGAGCTGGTGCAGTGCGAAGAATGCAAGCGCTTGTGCTACTTAGATGAGACAACATTCACGAGTTCGGCCGATGCGCAGAAGGCGAGCTTCGTGTGCAGGCTGTGCGAGGCACTGCTGGCGGCCGTGCAGCGCATGGAGGCTAGCATCAAGGGGCTTCAGGGAAGCTTAGGGCGGAATGGGCGCAGAGAATAAAAATCCAAAAACAACTCGGAGCGTCGCGTGAGCGGGAGGAGGCTACCGCGAGCCTATTAGAGTAAATGAAGGGCGACCTTCGAAAAGACGGGAAGGGCGGACCGAGCTAGAGCAGCGGGTAAAGGAGCTAATGGCGCTTTGTCCCGGCCCCGAGCGGTGTGAGAAGGAAGGCGTGGGTAGCGGAGAAGGCGACAGGCGGGAAGGGACAGGCGAGAAGGGAAGTCAGGCGGCCACAGTGTTTGGCCACAGCACGGAGGCTCCGAGAATATACAGCTCGGTGGCGCGACAGTCTTCAAGCAGGGCAGAAACACAAGACAGATAGCAGAGAGAGAAACAGGTGAAGCAAACAGGGGCGCCATCACGAACAGGAAGCCAGGGATTGGCGCGTAGAAGGGTCCTAGTGGTGGGGGACTCTAACGTGGCCAGGGTTAGGGATGGCGTCTTCAAGACAGTGAAGGAAGATGGCAGAGTCAGGGAAGAGCATGGTGGATGCACAGGCCAAAGCTCAGGAGTTTGTAGAAAACAGCATGGAGGGCGAAAATCTAGTCATTATCCATGCTGGGCTGAATGATGTGTTGAAGGGCAAGGATCAGAACCTTCAGAGAAAGTTAGAGTATGGGATGCGTAAGCTCCGAGAAGCCTCTGGGAGTGTGCATGTGACCATATGCACAGTCCCAGAGGTCGGGGGCAGCCTCGTGGGATTGAAAGGAGGGTAGTGGAGGCCAATTGTGGGAACAAGTGTTTGAGCGGCCACTCGGATACAGCGTAATGGAAGTTAACCAAGAAGTGTACGAGCCCGGCGCTCGCCCCTTTGCACAGGATGGCATTCACTACAGTGGTGCGACGAGCAGGAGGGCCGGTAACAGAATGGGTCGCCAAGCCATAGCTTTTTTAGGGAGACCCAGAGCCCTGAGGCCAATAGTGTAGCCAAAGAAGGACCTAAAGGGGCAATAATAAACAAGCCACACGAAGTCCGTGGAGAAAAAATCGACGTAAGCGCAGGGGCCGAGCTAAATCAGACGTAGGCTATATTACGATGCAGGGTGGCAGGAGTCGGTTAAAGTGGGAAGAGATAGGAGAGCAGTTGAGGCAGGAGGAGCTGATGGTATATGGGTGCCACGAACTGTTGGCCACCGCTAAACAAGCGCTGCCAGTCTACGCTGCGCGCGCCTTCTCTCTTATCTCTCTCTTCCCCTTCCCTTACCTTTCGTTCTTATAAAAACCCAAGCCGGACAATAAACGCTCTCTTTTTGCCCTAGCCACTCTGTTCGTGCATTTCGGGGCGCGGTCCAGCCGCGGGGCTGGTTGTAACAGTGGCGACGAGTATTTCAACAAAGAACGAGACCCAGCTGCTTCCTGAAGGCGGGCAAGCAGCCACCCTCGACAGGCATGAATCACCGCCTCCCGGAACTCAACGACTACACAGATAAGTGGCAAGCGTACCTCGTGAAGGTTGAGGCATATTTTGAAGCAAACGAAGTCACTGACGATGCCAGGAAAAGAGTCCTGTTGGCTGTTGGTAGCCGCGCTTGGGTCGCGAACGATTGATGTGCTATGCGGTAGAGTGGCACCGCAGAAGCCAAACGCACTCGGCTACGATGCGGTAGTGAAAGTTCTAAGCGAGTATTATGACCCACGACCAAACGAAATTTCAGAAAGCTTCAAGTTTTTCCACCGAAACCAGCAGGAAGGAGAGTCTGTTCACGCATTCATTGTGGAAATACGGTGCCTAGCACATAACTGCAACTTCTCGTCCATGCTGGAGAGGATGTTAAGGGACCGTATCGTGGGCGGGGTACGTTCCAGAAATTTGCAAAAGCAGCTGCTCGCGAAACCTGAGTTGACGTATAAGAAGCAGAGGCATTTGCGTTGGCGACAGAAAGTGCAGAGTTAGATGCGGAGAACATAAATCGAGAAACGCCCCCGGTAACAGTGTCGGCAATGAAGGAGCAACGCTGGGTGCCGCGAGGCCAGAAGAAAAACGAAGGCGGAAAGCCATGCGAGTGCTGCGGAAAGCGTAATCATAAGCGCGCGACCTGTTCAATGCGTGGGAGGCACTGTTACAAATGTGGAAAACAAGGGCACTTGGCACGCATGTGCCAAAGAATCGACAACGCGTTGAATGTAACAGCCCAAGCCGACGCCAGTGATAG